ATTTGGCTTCTCTTACGTTCTTATGATCCCTGTATTACAGACTGTGGAACAAGGCTAGGAAGCCCACCGGGTGAACTTGGTCTGGTCACAAACCATCAGCTGAGCTCAACTCACAGGGCTGTTGCGAGGATAAAATGGAGGAGAGGAGAATGATGTCAGCTGTTTTGGGGGTCCCCACTGGGGGAAAAGGAGGGATATAAATGAAGTACATAAATAAATATCACAAGGAAGGGACTACAGCCGAGAAGACCCTGCACTATTGTCAGGAAGGGTCCCTGGGCTCTATGTACGATTTGATTCCCCAACCTGACCACTTACCTTTTGCCCTGGAATCCCAGGTATCCCAGGGGCACCTCTCTCTCCCTGGGACGGGTCCCTGGGCTCTATGTACGATTTGATTCCCCAACCTGACCACTTACCTTTTGCCCTGGAATCCCAGGTATCCCAGGGGCACCTCTCTCTCCCTGGGACCCTGGAATCCCTGGGTTGCCGCGGATACCCTGGATGCCTTGTGCCCCCGGAGGTCCCGGTGCCCCAGGCTCGCCCTAGTGGGAGAAAACCATAATTTTCAGGAACGACATAAGTAAAAGTGTTACAAGCAGAAATATATTCCATCTCTATACCATCATCTCTCTCCTATCTCATTTTAACTGGAGATAATTAGAGATGATCCAGGATTCTGTGCCAACGAGGATCCAATGCTAAAGTTTTGTGTTCTCTTTGCAATCAGGACGGCCTTTTTCCGACTCAGGTAACACAATTTGATAGATAGATCCAGATGGTCAGCCGCATTGGTCTGAAGCAGTAGAACAAATTTAGAATACAGTGGTCTTAAAGGTGCCACTGGATTCATACTTTGTTTTGTTAACCACAGTTAGTCTTAAATACGGTTCTGCATTCTGTACAAACATGGACATCGTAGCTTACTCCTGGCTAGGGACATATGAACACCTGCCAGTTTGGCTCATGCTCTGTTCACTGATCACAAGCAGGGACGATTTTTCGAGGACTGGTTCAGTAAGTCATCAATCTGTTTGCCGGTATTCAACATGTTGCTTCACTGTATTTATTCCTAGCCATGCATTGCGACTGAGGGGTGACATGATTGAGGTTTATAAGATTATGCATGGGAAAGAGCAGGTAGAGAAAGAGGTACTTTTCTCCCTTTCTCACAATACAAGAACTCGTGGGCACTCCATGAAACTGCAGAGCGGTCGGGTTAGAACGGATAAAAGGAAGTACTTCTTCACCCAAAGAGTGATTAACACTTGGAATTCACTGCCACAGGAGGTGGTGGCGGCTACAAGCATGGACGGCTTCAAAAGGGAATTAGATAAGCATATGGAGCAGAGGTCCATCAGTGGCTATTAGCCACAAGGTATAGATAGCGGCTCTGGGGCAAGTGATGCTCTGTCTTCTTGGTGCTTGGGGGGGGGGCAACAGTGGGAGGGCTTCTAATGTCCTGGCCCCACTGGTGGACCTCCTGATGGCACCTGGTATTTCTGGCCACTGTGTGACACAGAGTGTTGGACTGGATGGGCTTTTGGCCTGATCCAACATTGGCTTCTGTTATGTTCTTATGTTAACGTCTGAACCGTAATATGATTCCGAATAAACTGCAAAGAAAACTGCACATTATCCTCAATAATGTTCCCTGGACTATGAGAAAAGACAGATGCCATGCCTAGATGCTTCATGTGTGAGGAAAACAGATGCACCTATTAGAAAGTTTATTTATATACAGCCATAGGGAGCCATCTACACATCCCAAAGGCAATACAAGTGACTGAAACAACTGGGGCAGTCTACTGCAAAGGCTGACAGGACCCAGTCAGCAAACAAGGAACTCTACTGAACCTTTTGAAGGAACATTAGCACCTCAGCAGAGGTCAGCTTGGAGCAGAATCACAGAAAAGCAAGTGTGAATAATTCAAAGACAGTTGGGGAAAACATAGCATGCCATTAAGTATTACCTTTTTACTCCTTGAAAGCCTGAGCCGTGTGACTGTCCCAAACTGTCCAAAATATTCTTTGAGCTGCGGCTCATGAAGGCCCCGAGGGATATGGCCCACGTAGATGACGCCCGGCGTCAGCTTCTCATCCTGTGAGACAAAGGGAGGAAAACACCAACCATTTTGTCATCCCAAATGTTATTTAGCAATTTCAGGGGTGCTGCACACATCTGATGATCACAGGAAATGGATTTCAGGGCACAGATGTGGTGGGGAACAAGCAACACCTGATCTGGCATGCTGCCAGTCAGAAAGGCAACTCACAACTGCAGTAAATATAAAGAGTTAACGAGTAGATCTATGAGACTTGCTGCCTACGGTTAATTACATCACAAAGGGGTTTTTTTAAGTTTCCCATATTCCTCCTCTTCTCATGGAAATGAGCCAGAGCACTATTAGGAACCTATATGAAAACTGCAGCCCCCAGAAAAACCCTACTTATTATGAATTTAGATAGCTCTTCACAACTATAAGCTGCCTCAGTTGTTTTCAAACCCTGTCAGCGGGGGAGATGTAAAGTTCATTGTACACACTCCAACTTAAAAAAAACGGAAATTTTCGGAAAAATTGAAAAAAATGCTACATTAGCATTTCTTTTGTCTTTTCTAGATTGAAAGTCATTCTGTTACTTTAGGAACATAAAAAATGACTATGGACATTTTTACTTGGCATGAAATTATCACAACTAGCATATTAAAAATATAGTGTACCCAAACAATTATTACAAACAGAATACCCACCCACATGCAAAAACAAAACTGAAACCTTTTGATTTTCTTCTGACAATCGCACCTCCTAAAGGAAGAAATGCATCTTGTTCTTGCATTGGAGAGTTCAGTTTGTAACCTAGGACTTGCTTGTCCTCAGTGCACAGAAATTAGATCAATCTGATACCATTATATATTTTAGAAATGATTTGGAAAATATTTGAACACCTTGTCTTAAAATATTTTATTTATCATGTTAAAATAAAACATTCCATAATCAATTTCTTTTCTTTTCTTTATCCAAATTTTTGGAAAAAACCAAAAAAGCTTCAGGGAAAAAAATGGAAAAAAAACGGGTTTTTTCCGGGCCTTCACATCTCTAGTGGCAGTGCACGGGAGCTGTGTTGCTGGGGCAGTGTCCCCTGGTCACATTTGCAGATTGGAGTCATAGGGATGGGGCTAATCACTTCTCCCACCTCCCTCCAAGAAGCACTTAGCTGGACTGATGGATCCCACACCAGCAAAAGGGAGTTAGGGTGTTGGAGTGCCTTCCCTATGAGGAAAGGCTAAGACTCTGGGACTTGATAAAAGCTTATAAAATTATGGATGGGGTGGAGAGAGTTGACAAAGATGCATTTATCTCCCAAAATACTAGCACTCGAGGGCATCCAATGAAGCTGATGGGCAGTAGGTAGAGGACGGACAAAAGGAAATACTACTTTACACAGGGTGATTAAAAGGTGGAATTGACTGCTAGAGGATGTAGTGATGGCCACAAGAATAAACAGCTTTAAAAGGGGATTAGATAAATTCATGGAGAATAAGCCTATCAATGGCAACTTGCCATGGTGGCTGAGAGGGACCCCCACATTCAGAGGCACTAAGCCTCTGAATCCCAGAGCCAGGAGGCAACCTTGAAGGAAGGCCTCGGGCTCTCTGCCCTGTTGCTAGCCATCCAGAGGAAATGGCTGGCCACTGTGTGAGGCAGAATAGACTATTGGTCTGATCCAGCAGGGCTCCTATGCTCTCAAAAAGGAGGCCTTCCCCCCACCTGGCCTGCATCCCAGTTAGGTGTTAAACAAGCAGGGAATTTACATTTCTATCAATAAAGCAACTGTTTAAACTCCCCCCCCCAAATTTCCATCACTTACACTGAAAATTTAAACGTTAACAAGTTCACAGTTCACGTTGTAGTACCGAATCCATATTGCAAAGTATCACCAACTTTGCCACTGATTTTTATTAACAAAAATTACCATGTTAACATTGCCAATTTTGTTCACAGGTGATTAACAGTGAGGCCAGCATGGGAGAACATGCATCTATTTATCATTTAAATTTATAGACCACCCTACCCCTGAATACACACAGATGAGGGCAGTGAACAACATAACGACAAAACAATCTAGCCGCACAGATGACCCTGGAACGCATTTACAGTCTTCTGCCAGTTTTCTAAGCCTCAGAAAAAAATCACTCTCTCTCAAAATGGAAGCCCCCTCTGTCAAGGAACCAACCAAGGACAGGTCAAGCAATAAGAAAAGGCCTTGATCTGCTCTTGTAGGGAGCTCTCATGAGTATAGACAGGCACTCTCAGTCTGGGGCAAGTGATGCTCTGTCTTCTTGGTGCTTGGGGGGGGCAACAGTGGGAGGGCTTCTAGTGTCCTGGCCCTGCTGCTGGACCTCCTGATGGCACCTGGTATTTCTGGCCACTGTGTGACACAGAGTGTTGGACTGGATGGGCCTTTGGCCTGATCCAACATTGGCTTCCCTTATGTCCTTATATGATGTGATGCTCTGTATTCTTGGTGCTTGTATGTGGGGGTCAACAGTGGGAGGGCTTCTAGTGTCCTGGCCCCACTGCTGGACCACCTGGTATTTTTGGCCACCGCGTGACAGAGTGTTGGACTGGATGGGCCTTTGGCCTGATCCAACATTGGCCTCTCTTATGTTCTTACGTTACGTTCTTATGTGTAGCTTTGTAACTCCAAGCGTGTTGATGGCCACGTGCAACCGAGGAAGGCGGTCTGACTTCGGGGGGGGGGGGGGGGGGGGTTTCCCGTGAAATTACAAAAAGAACCCTTCCCTACATTAATTCAACGCGGCTAACAGAATACTGTAGTGCTGAGAGAGATACAAACATGCCATTAACTTCAGAGGGTTTTTTTGGGGGGAGGGGGAGTTCAATCCATGAAAGAAGAACCCAGGTGTACAACCACCACCCCCGTCGCCTGAAGTGGAACAGGCCATTCCGCTGGCACAGTTCCGCGGCAGACCTCCACCTCGCGCGGTTTAGAACGCGATGACGCAGACTACATAGCGACCTTCGCTGCCGCCCGGCGGTTGCCAAGGAAACAGGAGCCTGACATGGGGGGGGGAGGAAAAATCCCTTTACCACGCGGCAGCTTCTATTTCCATGTCGCCCGGAAGGATCCCCCCCCTCACCTTTTTGGCTGCTGTCTTCCTGACTCGCTGCACCTTCGCCTGAAACTCTTGCTGCCGCTCCGGGTCCAAAGAAAGAAGAGACGCCGCTGCTGTCGTTGGAGTAGAAGCTACCTCGACCGTCGACGCCATCGTGGTTCAGGAACAAACGGAATACCGAGGCCATATGCGGACGCGCATGCGCAAACCGGTAACCTTCTCTATCTCTACACGGAACTATTTCTATTACTTCCGCTTTGCCTTTGCTTCCTATAGATCGAAGCAGTGCAGAGCCAGAAGAAAGGAACTGCAGCGGCCCCTGCTGGTGGAATGATGAAAGAGCAGGCAAGGGAAAAACAAGATTCGAGTCCATCGGCACTTTTAAACGCCAACAAGATTTCTGAAGAAGTGTGCATACCCAGACTTAAACTTAGTTGGTCTTATTAAAGGTGCCACTGGCCTCAAACTTTATACTTGTTTGTAACACTGATTGCGGTATGTGTAATGCCTTTCCAGTGCTCCTTAAGTTCTGCATCCCAATAGTCATTGATTTTAGCATCATTCAATGATGGGCCAGAAAGTCAGAGGGGGGATTTTCGTCTTCGTCTGGCACTCTTACCACAATACACGCTGAACAACGTCTGGGTCCAGTGGCACCTTTAAGGCCAACTAAGTTTAATTTCGGGTATAAGCTTTCGTGTGCATCTTAAGATGTGTGTATGGACACGAAAGCTTATACCCAGAATTAAACTTTGTTGGTCTTGAAGGTGCCATTGGACTCAAACTTTGTTCTGCTGCTTCTGACCAAACCGGCTACCCACCTGAATCCACAATACACACAGTCTCTCTATACGAGTGGATGAGAAACTTCTCTAGCATTTATGCTTTAGAGATCATTGACAGAATTGTGGCTGAATTGCGGACATGTCACGTGTGCAAGATTGGTCATCCGTCTAAGGTTCCCAAACTTATTTGGCCTATGGCCAAAAGGCTACTTTAGATAGGTTATGGACGTCACATCATTCCAGACGGGCAGCTGTGTAAGTCCGTAGAAGCAAAACAGAAATCCAAGGGGCACCTGAAGGACTAAGAAAACTGAGCCACAGCTCTCGTTATCGGTTGCCCTGCCGTGTACAGCCATCTCAGGACGCTTTTTATACACGACCAAAAGGAGGTCGGGGGGAATGTTACAGAGCTGTTGCAAAATCAAGTCTGTGGTCCTATGCAGTTAAAAGCCAGTCGAGTCCGACTCTAGGGTTGCGGTGCTCATCTCCGTTTCGAAGCCGAAGAGCCAGCGTTGTCCGAAGACGTTTCCGTGGTCATGTGGCCGGCATGACTAAACGCCAAAGCGCACGGAGTTAGATAGGAGTAAATCCCATTGAACTCATTGGGGCGTACTGACTGAGCCAAGCATGCATGCCATGTGTCTGAGTACAGCGCCCGGATTGGCTTCCGCGTCCCACGTGCATGAGATCGCCCCGCCCCTTTCTGCAGACTGCAACCAAACTTGCTTTCCTTCTCACCGCCCTTCGGCAGGGTCAGGTTGAGGAACCGAAAAGCCCAAGCGGCGTGAAGGAGAAGCCTAACTCCGCCTCGCCCTCGGCGATTGGCTCTTTCCTTCCCTCTCGGCCGTGATAGGCGCATCCGACAAACAGCGTCTTGCCCCATTGGCTAGGGAAGGGAGAGCGCCAATAGCAGCGTAGGGTGAGCGAACGGTCCGGGCTGTGAGCGAGTCGGGCGCGGGGAGCTTTTGTTGGCGCCGGCGAAGGAGGCGGGGAAGGGGCGAAGCGAAGCTGGCCATGAGCGGCGGCGTGTACGGAGGAGGTGCGTGCGGGTCTCCCGGCGGACTTTGAAAATCTGCCTGTACCTTTAAGGCTGGGAGGGAGGGGGAATTCTGGCCGCTGCAGCTTCTCCCTTCGCGGCCGAGGGGAAAAGCCTCGCTGAGAATGCAGGAGTCGGGGGGCTGGCGGGACTCTTTGCTTGGCAAAGTGGCTTCTGCAATCTGAAGCCGCTTGGCTTTGCCTTTTCATTTCCTTCATATGTACTCCGCCTCCCCCCCCCATGGGAACTCGGAGCGGGTAGCAGCATTCTCCCCATGCCCATGTTATTTTCACAACAGCCTTGCAGGGTAGGTCAGGCTCCGTGCCCATGTTATTTTCACAACAGCCCTGCGGGGTAGGTCAGGCTGGGGGAGTGCGAGTGGCCCACTGTCGCTACTGGTCGAGATGCCAACCTCCAGGTGGGACCTGGGGATCCCCTGGAATCACAGCTCATTTCCAAGAGGGGTCGCCGTATTAGTCTGTCTGTAGCGGTAGAAAAGAGCCGGAGTCCAGTGGCACCTTAAAGACTAACAAAACATATGGAAGGGGTATGAGCTTTGGTGCGTCACCGCTCACTTCTTCAGATACCTGAGAAAGTATCTGAAGAAGTGAGTGGCGACTCCTATCCTGCCACATATTTTGTCAGTCTTTAAAATGCTACTGGACTCTTGCTCTTTTCTAGGGCTCATTTCCAGACTGTGGAGGTCAGCTCCCCTGTAGACTAATGGCTGCTTTGGAGGGTGGACTCTATGGGACTGTACCCCACTGAGGCCCCCGTCCTCCGCAAGCTTCATCCCCAAATCTCCAAGAGTTTCCCCACCTAGATCTTGCAGCCTTACCCCATCTCCTGTCAGTGGCTGGGGGGATGGGCGACCTGGTAACCTGACAAGTCTCCTGACAAGCTTCTTCAGCAGAGTTGGGATTGAAGCCTGGGTATCCTCAGTCGTTGGCTGAAACTCTAACTGCTGCACCACACTAGCTGGTACGCAGCTGCTAAGAGGGGGAAAGCTTTCCCACTAGGCTGTACATTGTGTTCCCCAAATTAAAGAATAAAATCCGCACCAGAGTGGAAACCCAAGAGGGCAGCCTGTGTGCAACTGCAGGTGCTGTGGCTGTTCCTGATGCTCACACCTTTTTGCTACCCAGCAACACCATTTGAATGTGGTATCAGGCCCCCACGGACTGCAACCGTATCACAATCGGGAGGTGGGGGTGGGTGGGAAGCAACTGGAGAAAGGGAACTGAGCCACACATTGTAGGTTAGTAAATGTAGAAGAAGAAGAGGAGGAGATTGAATGTATACCCCGCCCTTCACTACCTGAAGGAGTCTCAGAGTGCCTTACAAACTCCTTTCCCTTCCCCTCCCCACAACAGACACCCTGTGAGGCTGGTGGGGCTGAGAGAGCTCTGAAAGAAACTGCTCTTTTTCAAGAACAGCTCTTATCAGAACTACGGCTTGCCCAAGGTCATCTAGCCAGGTGCAAGTGGAGGAGTGGGGAATCGAACCCGGTTCTCCCGGATTAGAGTCCGCACACTTAACCACTACACCGCGCACTTAAGCACTACACAGCCAGTGAATTACGCCTGGTGTTGGAAAATCACAAGTGCTTTTGAGTTATCATTGCGCATGCATACGCAGGACGAGAGGGGCGCGACCCAGATGTGAGGATGTGCACAGATGCTGGCCCTGACCCCTGGTACTTGTTGACCCTGTGCTCTCTTTTGCAACTGACCAGACGGGCAGGTGCTGGACTTAGGTTCCGTAGCCTGGGTTGACGAAGAGTCAGCCTGGTTGGTGGGAGGCAGGAATGGAAGATTTGCCGGGTTAGAGGGGTCTTGCTTGCTTGTCCCTGTGATGTCATGCTAGTTTGCTTTGGATCCATCCTGGCACAAGTTTCAGCACTGAGGACTGAAGCCAGGGTGTTCTGTTTGCATCAGAGGTGCTGTACCTTAGATCTCTGGGACCTCCCTACCTTGGGGAATTCGTACATTTGATAGCCATTTTTGTAGGGTAGGGGGAAATGTTCAGAATCAGCTTGGATTTAACGGCATGTTTACTGCACAGTCCTGCATATGGTGATTTTGTCGTGAGTTCCTCCGAATCTCATGGTCCCTGTAGTAGAATTGTAGTAGAAGGGACCATATTCAGCCTGCGCTGAAAGCGCTGCACTGGTTGCCAATAGCGTACCAGATCCGCTTCAAAGTGCTGGTTCTTACCTATAAAGCCCTATATGGTCTGGGTCCAACCTACCTGAGGGACCGCCTTTCCCCGTATATTCCCCCAAGAGCACTACGGTCTGGGGCCCAAAATTTGTTAACCATCCCGGGCCCCAGGGATGTAAAATTGGCCGCCACAAGGGCCAGGGCTTTTTCGGTGGCGGCCCCTACCTGGTGGAATGAGCTCCCGGGGGAGATCCGGGCCCTGCGGGATCTGATGCAGTTCCGCAGGGCCTGCAAGACGGAGCTCTTCCACCAGGCTTTCGAGTAGGGGCCGCCCCCCCCATTACGTTACCATCTTGGGGGGGGGGGGTTGGAAGAGGCCCTGAGAAGAGCCCCTGGAAAGGACTATTAGAACATCCGAACAGCGATGCTATAGACTGCCTGTCACGAACTGTCTTTGGAACTGTCCCGCCATCTTGGGTTTAGAGTTCTGACTATCACTGAGCACTTTATGTGATTTAGGACTGGGTTTCTTTTAACTTGTATAGTATGTTTTTAAATTATGGGTATATTGTTGTTTTATTGTAGCAAGTTTATCTTGCCTTGTGAGCCACCCTGAGCCCTACGGGGGAGGGCGGGGTAAAAAATTTGATAAATAAATAAATAAATGTCCAATTCTGTCATTCTTGCCTGCCTTTCGTTCCTCCCCAACCTTCTGATTCTGCAGCGGTGCTGAAGATCCCAGGCTTTTATTTATTTATTTAGTTAATTATATTTATACCCCGCCCGTTCTGCGAACAGGCTCAGGGCGACTAACAAGAGCGGTACAATGTACCTAATTGGCATAACCATAAAAATTTAAAACTGCATAAAATACATACACATTCATATTACATAAAAATAACAGTTAGCGATAAAGTGCTCGCAGTGCTAAAAGATTAGATGGCGTGCTTGTCAGATCTAAATCCACATCGTCTATCCGGTCATCATCCCTCAAGCCGATAGAGGCCTAGCGATGCATCTGGGCCAGTCCTAGGTTCCAGAAGTTCAATGGAAACATTGATGGTAACAGTAATGGTGGCTCCTATTTAAAGGCCTGGCGGAAGAGCTCCGTCTCGCAGGCCCTGAGTTAACAGACACCTTGTCTCGTGGATTTTATCATTTGTTCTGAAGCGACACTCCCTGTAAATTTTTCTCTGTGTGTGCAGATGAAGTC